GAATGGAAGGAGAGGAGTGGAGTAAGTTCTTCTTCGTTCGAACAACATATGAAAATATTTCTCGGTTGATTGAACTTTTTAAAATATTTATACAATTTATAACGACGCGTTCGCAGTATTCAAATACTATCGAATGTGCAATTATTTAAAAAACTTTATATAACGGCAGACTATACAGTTACGATGAACGAAACTTGAAATTATATATTTGGAAAATATTTGCAAAATTATTATAATAATCGCAAGAATGATGGTTAACCAAGAGAAAAATCCGATGGATTTTAATCTTTGAACATTTTTTAAATTGCCTCGAGTTAATATAATATTGTTCGATCAAATATCACGTACAAATAATTTTGTAAGTCATTCGCAAAGACTGATATATACGAGTATTAGTATTTTACGAATGTGCATTTTTACTTTTCGACGTACTCGAAAAATGTATCCCTGATCAAAGTGTATGCATTTGAAACGATGTTAATTTAATGACGATATCGTAAGTGTAATCGATTGTGATTTTTGTATTTAATTATTATAGAATGAAAATTGTAAAAAAAAAAAAAAAAAAAAAAGAACAAAATATTAAGAGAATCAAATCATTTGTAACATAATGTATCTAATATATTTGAATTATCGTGATTACGTTTGCTCAAATGTATATACGGAAAAAAAAAATCAATCGCGATCTCGAAAAGTCAATGAGTACAATTCAAGTTGCGTACAAAAGCAATGTGTATGCTATACAATATTATTTTTTTATAACTTCGACATAAGTACAAATGCATGTGTAAATTTGCCTGAACTATGAGCCATGATCATATTTGCATGCTGAATAACTGAATTATTTTTTTTTTTTTTTTGCACATTTGATGTCTATTTCGATCCAGCTTTATGAATGATTATTCGTAAATGTAAATATCGTAACTTAAAGCGCATTTTTTTGTCTCTGAGACATGTGAGAGTATTTAAATATTTAATTTAAAGGTGCCTAAGTAATGTGAATTTTTTTTTTTTTTTTTTTTGCACTTTTGTGGTCTATTCCCATCCGCCTTTATGAACGATTATTCGTAAATTTAAATATCGTAACTTAAAGCGCATTTTTTTGTCTCTGAGACATGTGAGAGTATTTAAATATTTAATTTAAAGGTGCCTAAGTAATGTGAATTTTTTTTTTTTTTTTTTTTTTTTAAGAAAAATGACTATTATTATCATCTGCTTGTTCGAAAGAAACAAGAAAAAAATCGTAATTTATTCGAAAAAAGGAAATATTGCCGGAAGAAACGCAAGTTGTACGCAATTTCCTTTTGCAACGTGAATATAATTTTTTTAACGTCGTTTATATAATTTAATTTTTAATTAATATTATCTTTCTTATTAATTTTTTCCCTTATTTTGCAACGAATACAGTTGCGAGTGTAAACGAATCATTGGAGTATTTTCACCTTTTGATTACAACTTTTGTATACCGTTCATATTGTAATCATTATATAATAAACACTGCTTTGTTGTGGCTTCTTACTAATTATTCTTTTGTTTCTTTTATCACCTATGGAGAATACGGCTTGAATTACCAGCCCTTATCGTTAATTTGATAGCATTTCATTAAAAATTTTCCTATAGTGTGGAATTATTATTAAACGAAGAATTACGAGTCTCGTTACGACGCTTGATTTTTAAATTACCACTATAATAAATAGATTAAGAAACATCTGTGAGATGAACTTATCGAATTCCATATACGCATTATCTTTTTAATATTGAATCGATAAACCAGTCAAGATAATCCCATACATGAAATATAATCATGGAATTCGATTTATTCGCCTCGAATATACGCATATTTTAATCGAAATAAATCTTCGATTATCAAATGATGCTATTATTGAATCGATGAGCATGAAACCTCTAAAGAAAGATATTCCCCCACGTAGCAGCGGAACCAATTTTCTTAATTGTTGTTGAATCAGATAGAAAAGTAGCAAGTTCGATTAACGTGATCCTAATTCGTGATTTCCTTTCCTAAACAAGGATTATATTTTTCTCAAACTCGAGGGCATCCATCTTATTGACCCAGAAACGGATTCCAATTTCATTCACCGTTTCATCCATTAAACAAGCTCTTCCTTCCAATCCAATAAACGATTATCTTCGAATCAAAATCACCTTGAAAAGGAATTTAAAGATTCGATTGTTTCGACGTTGCGCGTAGGTGTCCTCGCGTGGGAGTGCGCGCTGATCGCGAGTGCATCGGTGCATTGGTGGATCTCACCTTATAAGAACGACTAAACTCGACGGAAACGCACGAACCAGGTGTTCGGGCGCGCTCGTGTCCGCGGATCGCCCATGGCGCGACTCGCGCTTGTGTTCGATCAGTAGCTCGGTTCTCACGCCGCGAGTCGCATTATTCCGCGCGATTCATCGATCGTTCCTCGTTTGCTCGCCTTTCCAATCCGAACAGCTGATCCGATCGCCACGCGTTCTTTCACGAAACAGTGTTTATCGACGATTCGAGAATTGAATACGATTTATGTTTATCGAAATTGTCGAGGTTTTTTCAAAAAAGTATTGTTTTTCTTTTTTTTTTCTTCTAAGATTTGGAACAGTTAATTTTAAAGTCTAATATTATTTAAGATAAAATAAGTGAGTAATAGGTTTTCCTTGCAAAAAAAAAAAAAGAAAAAAATGGAGAGAAAATTCTTGGAGATTTAAGTGAAATCGGATGGATACGGTGGATTATTCGAGAAGTTAAAGTGTAATTAGCACGATAAACTAGAAAACGGTTAAACGATTCGCGTGAAAAATAAATAAATAAATTTTGATTCTTAATAATGTTTGAAAAGGAGGGGAACGGTGTTAGGAAAGATGCACCGGATTTCTGTTACGCGTATCAGCAAGTTATCGCGAAAGATCAGCCGGATGATACTTGTACGTACGCTTCCTCGTGTAATATATAATATTTCTCGTCCGTAAATTCTTTTCAATTTTTTTTTTTTTATCACTTTGTAATACAACACGATAATGATTAGTTAACCCAACGATACGGAAATATCTAATAATTGAGTTTTCAAGTTAAAAACTTCTTCTTCTTTTTTTTTTCCTTTTTCTTTTGAACGTTCATCGAGCAATACCGTTAACCCAAAATTTTTACAACTTGTTTTCACATTGGTTCTGGTTTGGTTTCGTTACTTAAACTTCTTTTTCACAATGTTCGATCTCGAATTCTTGACATCATCCCGGAAGATAACCTGGTATTCTTCTTCATCAGCGTTCCGTTACCTGTCAATTTGATTGCTCGTATTTTTTTCGTCGCCTCAGAAAAACCGACTAAATCGAATATACATGTTAACTTTATTCCCGTGTACTTCTAATGAAATTTTATTCGAGATCGAGAAACAACTTTCGTTAATACGTATTCTCGATGTAAATTCTCGATGTAAAGTGAAGCGCAAAGAAACATGAATCGCAGATATACATCGATCTGTGTCTACGTTCAGAGCACACAAATTTGTTATTAATACACGTTCTTATTTATATCTTTTACGATCTTTGTTTATTTCGTAATTTGATTTATCGGTTTGCCATTCGATCGAATTCAAATTGAATAACATTTAAATCATTTTCATACAATTTGATAAAATGATCAAAAATTAAATCGGAATATAGAAACAAAGAATCGACGAGACGTTGATCGCTTTATTTTCTACTACTACGTCGCAATTCGCAATATCTACCTGCCAGTGGATGGATGAATTCACGTTTAATTTTACCGCAGGCACGTTTCTGACATAATTCTACCTCTACGGAACAAGTTTTCGGCCTTGAATTTTCGTCGACTGGCAACGAACAATCTTCCAAATTAATTCTTCGTATTCTCTGTATATAAATGATACAAAAACTCGAAACTTATTCTCCTTCAATGAAACGTGTAAAGTTCACAGTCATTGTCCAATGCCGAGCTTTATTAATAGCCGCTCGATTACTAAACTTAATTCGTATTACGCTCGAGCTACTAATAATTTCAGCTGAAAGAAATTCCGTCGTACGGTGGAATGTCGATCGTATCGATTAAATAAGAAGACAAACTTGTTCTTGTAACCGGCTTTTCGGATCTAACAGAATCATCCTAGAGAAGATCGTGTCAGAGCGAGAAGAAAATGGAAATTAAATATTTTTCCACGATTTAGAATCGAAAACAAAAGAATATTAAACAAATTCTTCGTTCCTATTATTCGATCCAAAGAGAAATTAAAAATACATATATATAACAAAATCGTGTTAATCCCTTTTCTGAAGATCGTGCAAACAACCCTCAATTCTATATTTCCATTTATTTTGATAAGTATATTAATCCTTGTTGAAGAAGCTAGAAAAAAAAAGACGAAAGGACACAACGGTGTTCCATTTTATTGGAACGCGAAATAGGAAATAGGAGGAGTGCGCAAGGAATTAAGAGGTAGAAAGGCAGGGCGCACAATCGTCCGTTGTCCAAGATCCCAATCGGATAGAAACTTTAGAAGATAGTTGATTAACGAGCTTGCATTCATTCTCGCGTTAACGTTGACCCGTTTCGACGTGGCCGCTTCTACTTTCATAACACGCACGTGGGCGTGTACCACGGATGATACTCCCTCCCTCGATCCATTTAATTACCTTGTTTTTTAACTTTTCTACTAATCTATATCAATTTATTACTGTCTGCTCAAATTTTTTAATCCCAAATGGAAATGTTCGATTGCCGAATATTTAATATATTTATTATCTTCCATCGAACAAACGCCAACGATTAGTGTTCGATGTACTTGTTTCATTCTCACGCACGCACAGTTATTATTTATCGATCGTGAGTGAAGAAGAATCGGTGAAGAGGTTTCGTAGCAATCGAATGAACTCGAATAACGATAGATCGAGAACGTTTAAAAGCTAAATAAATTGCGAATAAATTATTTTTCCGAGTCCCTCGATCTATTGAGACGCGTTTCGAAATCGGTGGAGGGCGTTAATTAATCATTGCGACACGCGACCATTTCCCTAACCTCGATGATAAATCGTCGAACACGCGATAGGAGAAAGTAAATAATAATATCTTTCACGATTCCGTTTCGCGATGAAAAGTGTCTTATATAAATCCACTTAATCCGTTTGTGCGATAATCGCTGTTAAGACGATCGAGATCGAGAAACTGTTACCACTGGTGATTAAAGATCTATCTGTTGTCTTTCCACGCTTTCAGTTCGATCGTTTTTCATAGTTTTATTTGGACGATTATCGACTGTGGATACTGTTAATGGGGAATTACAGTTGTACAGCGGATTTTTCTTCGTTCGTTGCAATTGATTTACTTAGCTCGATCCGAATGGTTTATTATGTGGTCCATAACCACGCTCTTCGATCCTTCGAAAGTATACACGTATCTTTTAATATTTTTTAATAAAACTCGCGTTGAAAAAAAAAAAAAAGAAAAATTCACTCGATTTTAACACGCTCGATCCTTCTTCTCGGTATTTCCAATTGTTCCAATTTTACGCTAGTTTTGGTTAATTGAAATAAATTTGAAATAAGGAGAAATTTCACAATATATTCCCGTTCAATATATTAAAAATAAATCGCCATCGGATCTTTCGAACTCTCAGATTCACTGCAAGATTAATTATCACCTCCTTCATTCATTCCTTCCAACAACCGTAAAATTACGTGTAATATAACTATGTGGACATACGCGCGTATTATTATCGATTATTCGAATTTCGACTTTGTTCCACTTTGTCCTCGAAAGAGGCAAGGAAAAGACGGCCGCGGAGAAGAGAAGCGTGCGCGGTTGTGCACACTCGCCTACTCGATTTCTGCTCTACTGAGCGCGATCGTTCGAGCGTGATAACACGCACACCACAATTATTCCACACATTCCACCGTTTCCTGTAGGTCAGTGTGAAATTCATCGCTCCCATCCACCATCTTCTTCACTGACCTCTGTTCGCGCTTTGTCGTTCGACGCTGTCGTGTCACGATGCTCTTCCTCCTATCTTTTCCTCCACCATTTGTCAACGAGTGTTATTGGTCCATTGATGATATTCGTGACACAGGATAATGTATGGGTTATCATTGCTTGGTGTTTAGTCGAATCGAGATCCCATTTTTCTCTCTCTTTCTTTCTTTTTTTTTTTTTTTTTTTTACATGGATGTGAAAACACGGAATGTGAAATTATATTTTCTTCTCGCCTCGTTTTCTTTTTCTTTTCTTTTCTTTTTTTAGTAGCAGTAAATAAGATCGTCGGGGATTAAATTTTTCGAAAGAGTGGATGATTTATCGGGTTATAATTGTTGAATACGTGATTGATAGTGGCTCGCGAACGACCACGATAGGAAAGATACGTTTTTATTGGAGAGAGAGAAAATATGTATAACGTTATATTACAATTTCTCCTCGGTTATATTACATTTCTTTTCCTCTTGATAAAGATTGGCGAGTTATAATTGAGAGAGAGAGGAAAAAAAAAAGAGCAAACTTTCCTCGTGTCTCTGCGATAACGAAAAACGCACGATTAATATTCGTGCAACTTCGTAAAATGAAAAAAAGATTGCAAGATTTTCTTTCGTTTTCACCTTTCAGGACCCGTTTTTTTCTCTCGCGGAGGAGAGGAATTCCAGATTTCACTTGATAACTCCGCCGCACGTTTGTTTTTGTCAACCACCCGTGACAGAGTGAAAGTTGTTTTTTTTCTCTCTTTCTCTCTCTCTCTCTCCTTCGAGAAAACCTCCTCCGCGAAAAACTTGGCGCGAGATTTTCCACCGCAGCTTAGAAAACGCGTCACACTTTTATTTCGAGCTCTGTCACACTCGCGTGGCGCCGAAGGAAAACGAAAGCGCCATTGCTTTTCGATAGATCCATCTTTTTGCGATTTTAAAAATCGTATAGAAACGAGAGCGCACGAGTTTTTGATCGGAAGGTGTTCGCGCGGATCGATAACAAGACCTTCGCGCTATTTTTACCACACGACATCCTCGTCATCCTCGTTAATGATCCTACGTAAATTAATACTGTTGGATCGCAACCAATGATTCACACACCTCAAACTTTACTCGTGAAAAAAAATTAATCCAATTTGCGTGTACCACCTTTTCAAGGAAAACATCGATTTTATTATCAACTCGTCGATCATTGTTTAATTTGCACCTGTTGCGCACCTTCTTTCTCCCCTAATCTCCCTCTCTCTTCCAATTCTGTGCTTCTATTTACCTGGGACGATAATTAACTTGGATAGCTTGTTGTCGGTCACGGTTGTACCGTGTTGCGGAACAGAAAGAAAGAAGGAGGGGAGGAATTCGATCGGCTTTCACCCAATAATTTATTTCCCTTGTAGAACTCGTGGAAGACACTTGGCGGATAACTAACTCGAATTTAATTGAACTCGAACACGGATCACGGGTGTGATCGAAGAGGCCGTCGATAAGTTCCGTGTTTCAACATCGAAAAATTGATCAACAGATCGTGTATAAAAGATATCGAATTGTTAATTGTTTGAATGAACCAAGGATCCTCGATCTCTTTGTCATTTATTTTAATCGATCGAGTCGAGTCACGCGCGGAATAAACAGAATATAGAAGGATGCAAGAATGACAATTTTTCTCTCTTCTTCATATATATCTTTTAGATATATATGATTCTTAAGGAAAAGTTATCCCAGAAGGAACGGCTTCGTTTCATTCGAAATTCGAATCGAGTGTGTATTAGATTGGAAAACATTCCGGATGTTGTAGAGAGTGGAAAATGTTCGTGCGTCGGGGAAAGCATATATATTTCTATTAATTTTTCGATCATCCTTCCCGGAGAAAATACATATGAATTGAAATTACACTACTTTCTTTCGTTTCTTTCTTTCCTCGATTTCTTAGATTTAATTTTAGATGAAAGAAACGGACCGTTCGGTGAAAGTGAAAGTTATTAAATCCGATGCACGTTTATACAAAAGGATATCAGCTGGCTCGAATCGGTCCATAAATATATTTTTAAGGATGGTCCCAAGGAAGAAAGTATCGGAGGAAAGTATGAAAGAAGCGGGTCATTGAAGCCGTACCGCGCGGATCCCGTATGCATGCGTTTAAGCTGCTTAAATATCCCATTTATTTTCACTGACGTAACGCGGGGCAACTGATGTTTGAAAACTGTAACTATAAGAACGATATTACGATCGTCAGTATTATTTTTTCCAATTAAAATCTTACAATTATCCATCTATTTTTAGGAAAATTTTTATAGGCTTACCTGATAAATATTCCATTTTCCTATTTGTTTCGAGCGACAGTTCGTTGTTTAACGGTCTCGTGTTTTAGGCATGCTGGAGAAATGGGAATCCTTGACCACCAGAGTGGAGGAAACACAAATGGCCACTGCGCTTCACAGGGAGTTAACCACTCTGCGCACGGAATTCAAAGCTGCACACGACAGACTTTTCTCGTACGAGATCATATTGGAGCAGCCGCACGTCCTCGACGAGAGAATTAATCGAATCACGGTAAGAATTTTATATTTTCACGTGTTTTCTTATAAACACATTATAGAATCGTTTAAAAAACGAGATTATATTTAAACAATTTCACTCGATAATCGGTGAAGGATGAGTGTGGCTTTCGAAGAGTTAAACATTTCTTTTTTTCGGTATTTTATATAGATTCTTATTTTTTGCTTGTCGTGCGAATTTTTCTTGTATATTTTTATACGTTTATATATGGATATTCATTGTATAAAAATATATATATCGAAAAAATATGTATTATCAGAAACGCACAAGACATTCTATTATAATGAAATTAAACGATTCCTTTTAATCCTAAATTCATTTAGAATAAACTGTCGTAAAAAATGCTTAATATCGTAAGAAAATGCGAGCTGCAAGAGGTAAGTATATTCTCATATAGATAAATATATAAAATTTGCCAACTATTTTTGTATTCGAAAATTTCAGAAAAATTTTACGTGCCTATCGAATTATATTTTTTCTAATACAATGTTGAGAATTTGAAAATTCCAGGAAATTTATCTCATTTCCAAGAATTTCAGAAAGTTAGGAATTTCATATAATTTCCAACAACTAAATTCTTCAAATTTTTCATCGAATGTAATATTTAATTATGCGTAAAATTTTTCTTGAAATTTAATATAATTTACTTTTTATCTTATTTATCTTTTACTTATAATCATTTTCTCTTTAATAGAAAGCACAAAAAAAATGTAAAGATATATAAGAAAAAATGTATAAAAAAAATGTATAAAAAATATATGAGAATATATAAAATCTTACGATATATAAAATTTATATAAATAATATATGCATAAATTCCTATAAATGTCCATATTTTTCTCATATTTCTTAATATTCCACTTTATGATATTTTACATTTCCGTTTAAATAAAAAAAAAAGTTTTTAAATTATAATTAATTTATATATGCATTCTTTCTTCCTTGATATACATTTAATATGTACATTTTGTCGATAAGTTAGGTGACGTTAGAAAAATTTTGATCAGCGCCATCTCGCGTTTGGATCACCGAAGCTCCGACTCGTTACTAGCATAACATGATATGCAAGGAGGTATGCGAACTCAGAGACAAGGAAAGCAACATTGTGCGAGAAGGACAGAGAGCATCCCCCACCACTTCGGAAACGCTACATGAAAAATTTATTAATAACTCAATTTTTATGCAAAATTTATGCACTTTTAAGATTGCATCTTGAAGCTAGAACTCCAGGCAACTTTCTCATAT